TAAGCCCTTTAGAAGGGCAGCTCTTTGAGGGTTCTAGTTTTGTGTGTTTCTGATTATAGCTCCCCACCCCTCTGAGGCCCGGGGCCACATCTCCTGACCCTTCATGTATTGCCAGTACCATCTCTTGGTTTCCCAGTGTCGTTCCCCAGGGTCACCCTGGTACCAGTTCATGGGCCTGTTCCTCTGGCTTCAGAACATTCTTGTTTTCTAGTTCCAATGTTTTGTCTTTTGAGTATGGGTGTGTATCAGAATCTCCTTCAGGTTGTATGCTGCCCAGTGTTCCTATGTGTCTGCAGCCATGCTGAATTCGACTTCAGTTCAGTGTGCCTCAGAGCTGGGGGTCTCCATCTCTCTCCATCCCCTGCTTGCTCAGGGGCATCTGCTGACTGTCGATTCAGCCAGAGGACTGAGAGGTCGGAGGCGTTGCCCTCTTTGGAGAAGGCTTAGGCTGCCCTTCTATTCACCACTGCCCTCAACCTCATTCTTTCTTCCTTCAGGAACCTAGAGAGTTCAGGCTCCTCAGGGAAGCCACAGCTGTGTCTTCAATTTTCCTTCTTCCAGGATTAAGCAAAACAGGTCGAGAAGGAGCCTCCTTGAGGGTCAGCATCCCTCTCCCCTTTCCAAGTCCTTCTCTCTGTCGACCTGGGAGAGGCCCAGGCCAGCATTCCTCCAGGCCTCAAGAGGGATTCTCTGGTTTCTTTGGTATTCGTTCTGCTTCCTGCTGACAGGTGTGACTGTTCCTCTTGGTGGGATGGTGAAGAACAGAGGCGTGGGTTTGGACTTGGGGATGGAGAGGAAGAGTTAGCCCTTCAGTTGTTTTTGGCTCTTTAGGTGCATGCAAAGGCATTCATTAGGTCCAGCCTGACTCATCACAGTGCTGCAGTGAGATTTGGAATCCAGGCTTGTAATAAAGCATTGCTTGTGTTGTTGAAAGGGTGGTTATTTAGAAAGGGATTAGGATCCCAATGAGCCTGAATCACTTAGACCTGTGTTTCTCACGGTTGCCTGCATATTCAAATCACCTGGGGGACTTCTAAACATGATATGGGTAGCCTGCCCCTAACTCACAACAATCAGATCAGAATGTCTGAGGATGGATTCCAGGTATCAGTGTTATAAAACTCTCCTAGTGATTCTAATGTGCAACCAGAGCGTCAAACCACCGCCTTAGACATACACCATCTTAATCACATCCCAATATTATTTCCAACACAAGTTTAAGTCAAGACATCTGCCCTCTTTAAGAATCATTAATTAGCTATGGGGAGAGGTTAAGAGAGCTCTGTTCAGATACGAGATAACTGTTAACACATATATTTTTAAAAGGCCAAGAGACTGATTACCATGTGATACAACAAAACTTCCAAATCATATTCTAAGTTAAGGTCAACAAGCTAGGGAGTTCTCTGTTCCCACTTTACATCTCTTGATTATTTGATCTTTGTTTTGGTCTCTGTGGAAGACAAAGATGCTCAGTCCACAACATTTTTACAGCTGGAAGGGTGGTCCCTGGAGTCCGAAGCCTTCACTTTATTCTGAGGGCTACAGTGGTGACCCTGCAGGGTTTAGAGTATTTTTTCAGTCCTCATTGCTCCCTTCTCGATTTTGGGGTGCAGCCCTCCATGCAGAATCTTCTCTCTGTTGTGCCACATTAAGTCCCACAGGGGACTCCTTGGCCACTCTAGATCGATTCTCCAGTGCACTTGTGAGCTTCCCTCAGCTTTGAAGCCTTCTTGAAGGTTGAGCGAAATGTTGCCTGCACGCATCACAGGGGAGAACACAGGCTCTCGGAAGATGCTGGGTTTTAGTGGACAAACTGTTTCCAGAATTCCCTTTAGGATACCCAGTTCCTTTCTCCAGGAAAGAGGGACGAGATTTCCTTTTTCCTTTGGCAGAACATTAGAATGCAATCTCAGGGGTCCTGAGGGTATATGAGTAGAAGATCATTGGTCTGATTTCAAAAGGGCATGGACTAAAAATTCCTGAGAGGAAATGTCTGTTGAAAGGACCTCCTAGGTACTTGCTATGTCTAGATAACAATGAAAACTCGCCAATCAATTCTGAAAGTCCTAAAATATGTCTGCCATCCTCCCAGGTCTACACTGATTTGCAGTTCTTCATTCCTTCTTCAACTGCATTAATGTAAAAATTCTACTGCAGCCATGCTATTTACTCCTTTTCCATGTTGAGGAAATGAATCTTTTATCTTGTCTCCCACTTTATTTGTTTCTCTTTTTACTTGAAATAATGTTTTATCGTGTTGTATGCAGTTTGCTTTGACACTTTTCTTTTTAAAACTTTATTTTTAATTTATTTTTTATATTTTATTTTTTTTTGAGATGGAGTCTCGCTCTGTCACCCGGGCTGGAGTGCAGTGGTGCGATCTCCCGGGTTCACGCCATTCTCCTGCCTCAGCCTCCCGAGTAGCTGGGACTACAGGCACCCGCCACCACGCCTGGGTAATTTTTTGTGTTTTTAGTAGAGACGGGGTTTCACCGTGTTAGCCACGATGGTCTCTATCTCCTGACCTCGTGATTCGCTCGCCTCGGCCTCCCAAAGTGCTGGGATTACAGGCATGAGCCACTGTGCCTGGCCTCTTTTTAAAACTTAAAAAAAAAAAAAAAAACTCCTTTCAGAAGGCTTATCCTGCACATTGGTAAACACTAGAAAACATTGCTGTTACCTCAGGAGGATGAACTTGAAAGGGGACAACAAGAATTATTCACTTTTTCTTTATACAACTTTGTTTACTTTCTTAAAATGGGCACATATTCAGAAATTAAAAATATTACAAAATAAATTCAGTCACAAAGAATCTAAAGTGTTTTATTTGAATGTATGTAAACCCTTGATGTGTTACAACATTTCGTTGTAAATGTACATACTATAAGTACCTTTATAAATATACACATAAATACACATATAGATACATTAGTATTTATAAAGAACTGCAGACACTGCCTCCCCCACAGTAAACCCAGTACATTATAAATTAAAAACCAAATATGTGGGCCATCATTTAACCAAACAAATGATTTGCATTAAACCTGTAAGCGAAGGGAAATTCTGAGTTACGAGTGAAGATACAATGCTTAGCCAAGTGCGGAGAGTAGTCCACTGTTGATGGATACCTTCTGATGTTTTCTTTGTTCTCATCTGAGAAACTGGAATGAGTTAACGTCAAGGAGCATGCTGAGGTTTAACTCATTCCATAGCTCCAGAGTGACACAGGCGTGATTTAAGGCCAGTGAGCCTGCCGAGGTTTCAGTTCGTAGTGGAAGATGTCTGTCTTTGATTGATTACATAGAACCAGGGGTTCTGAACACCTATTGTGACTGACCCAGGGCTGAATGCATCCAGGCAGTTGGTTTGCTGCATTCCTATAATTTTTCTGGTTCTAGTCAAAGCCCTTGGATGTGAGTAGCTAATGGATTGATCGGGACTGTTTGATGGGTCCTGGACCCTGCAACTACTCCCACGGCTCCAAAGGGTCTGGGCTATTTCTGGGTCAGACCAGAGCACCTCAAACCTTGAGACAGACTGTAGGGTCTGGACCCTGACTAGGGCTTTGGGCACCTCTAGGACTGGAGGTGGGCTCTAAGCTAAGACTGTTAGGAGTGGCTGGCGGGGCCAACTAGGAGTACTCACAACCGGGATGGACAGACGCAGAATCCTCCACAGACTCCTGCCCAGCACGGAGGATGGGCTGCATCTGCCCTGACCTCAGCTCAGTGGGTTCAGCCAGCCCTGAACCAGCTTTGGTTTTGGCACAGTAGTTGGTGACAATGCTGCTCTTCCAATTAAGACTTTCCTTAAAGGCAACTAAAAAACAGAAGAGAGTTACATTTGCAATATGTTTTTGCAAATGTATTTTTCTGAGCTTAGGGCTTTGTAGCTGCATTTTTTTGTTATTAGAAAAAAAAATCTTGCTAACTCATAAACAAAACTCTATTAAGTGGTTACATTGGTGGTTGGAAATAGTGCTGTTGCTAAATAAAAAATAAGTGTAATTTGCTTTCATTGGAATGCGAAATTCCACAGAGGCTTGTGAAAAAAGTGCAGGGGCTTCTTTTGTGTTCTTAGGCATGAATTCAAAGAATTCAATTGTTCATGGATCAATAATGCTACAACTATGATAACTTCTGAGAGAATTCATCCTGCTGTGGTTTTTTAAGTTTGAGGGAAAATATTTTCATGAGGCCTACTTTGATGGGGCAAATTAAGTGTGGATTCATGACTGCTCAGGGAGGGGTAGTTTGGGAACTTTCCCAGTGAATCCTTTCCGAGTGATGAGGCAAGTCCAGCCCCTGGGACCACACGCTCACATCCTTCCGGCTATTTTAGATGCGAAGGGAAGTCCCAGAGCACCTCCTGTCCTGAGACAACGGGTTAGGGTGGGGACAAGTTAGACATTGTATTATAAAGTGAAAGTACCAGAAGCCCTCCCACCCATGTCCCAGGCCTAAAATCTAACTTGCTTGGCTTATTTAGCTTCAGTACGTCCCCTGAATTGGTGCCCTTTTAGGCCTTGGCTTTCCCAAAGGGGTAGAAATTTATTTATAATTACAGCATGACAAAATCGGCCATACTGGAAATGAATTTTATGCACATTTAGTATAAAAGGTACTTTAACATTTCAGTTTCGTTCTCATTTTATTTTAGTTCTTCAGAGACATATCCTGACCAAAATACTGATTGCAGTATTTAGAAATGGCCTGGGCCCTTTTCTTTCTGATTAAGAACAGGCGTGCTCATGGTTGAGGCACCAGCTCTCTTAAAAGCTGTGTTTAGCCATTGCGATGGCTCACACTTGTAATCCCAGCACTTCGGGAGGCTGAGGCAGGAGGATTGCTTGGGTTCAGGCGTTCAAGACCAGCCTGGGCGGAACATAGCAAGACCCTGTCTCTACTAAAAATAATTCCCCCCCCCCACCCCTGCCAAAACATAGCCAGGCATTGTGATACAGGCCTGTAGTTCCACTTACTCAGGAGGTAAAGGCAGGAGGATTGCTTGAGCCCAGGAGTTCAAGAGTGCAGTGAGCTATGAAAACAAAACAACAAAATCCCAAAACCTTATGGATCTGATAGCATAGCAGAGATTCAACAAATATTTATTAGATAAAGGAAAAAAGGATCAAGGATTGATTCAGTTCTATTTCACAGTATTTATCAAGTGCCTTGCACATACAGGAAGAAAGGGCACAAACTTGTGCCCCCAAATCTGGCCATTTTCAACCTCACACTTGGTATGTCATCCAACCAATGAAGAAATGATCGCCCCTGCCAACATCTTATTGAGCATAACGTTAGTGTGAACTTCTTCTGTATATTCTATAATAGAGTCAATATACCTATGTCAAGGTTTCTCAACCTGGGCACCACTGACATTCTGGGCCAGGTAATTCTTTGTTGTGGGGACTGTCCTATGCACTGTAGGATACTTAGCAGCAGGCTCTCTGGCCTCTATCCACTAGGCACGACCCTCCTCCACCCCAATCAGTGGTGAGAACCAAAAATGTTTCTAGACATTGCCAAATGTCGTTTGGGGGACAATCACCCTCAGTTGGAAATCAGTGATTTATTTAAAATAATACTACATGATTATGCCACTTTAAGCGATACTAAAATTTAAAAAACCCTAATAATCTGGGGTCTTTTCTTGTTTTGTGAAGGTGTTCTATAATATTCTAGCCCAAGGAACACACACAGAATGGACTTTCCTCTGAGAAGTAAGGGTTTTGTTTATGGGAAAAATGACTGTTATTTGGGGGTGGAGATTTATAGTTACAAAAGTTTTTAAAAAAATTTAACTCATTTGGAACAATAATAGAAAAAAACAACCCCAGAGATCCAAGTGGTCATAATCATCACCTTGATGAACTCCTCTAACATTAAAAAAGTAAAATTAGCCAGGCATGGTGGCTCACACCTGTAATCCCAGCACTTAGGGAGGCCGAGGCAGTCCAGCCCAGGAGTTCAAGACCTATCTGAGCAATATGGTGAAACCCTATGTCTACCAAAAATAAAAATAAAAAAATTGGCCAGTCTTGGTGGCCCACGCCTGTGGTCCCAGCTACACAGGAGGCTGAGGCAGGAGGATTGCTTGAGCCCAGGAGGTCAAGGCTACAGTGAGCTATGTTTGCATCACTGCACTCCAGCCTAGGCAACAGAGCAAGACCCTGTCAAAAAAAGAAAAAAAAAATTAGCATGGGAAACAAATGTCTGCTTCCTTCTGCTTCAGTCCCCAAAGTTAAATGTTGAAGTACAATATTTTTCGTTTCAGAAAAAAAAGTTTACAGTAAGGAAAGTTGAAGCTTTCTTTGGAGAGAATTGGAACAGACATAAATGTGAACCTGAAGTGGAGACAGGGGTGATGACTTGAGGCTAATGCCAATTCCGAGCAAATCAGAAAGGAAGCCTGGGACATGGCTTTCCTTAAAAGAGTGGGAGACTATTTCTTACTTACCTACTCCCCAGGTAGGGATAGTCTTCCTTTTCCCATGGTGCACAGGCTGCATATTTTGGAAATATCGCTGTTTTTAGCTTAAATCTGGTAGTTTTAACTCAGCAAGTTTGCTGAGACTGGCTTTCTGGCAGAGTGCCGTCCCCATCTTTGTTAAGGTTGACCTGCTGCGGTGCTGCCAGGGACTCATTTACTGCCTTTTTTCCTCGGTACACAGGGCACCCACTCTTTCACTCCATTACCATGTTGTTCTGGCAAGAACAATTAAGGCTTTGTCACGCTCTGAGTCTCCCCAGCCTGGTTGTGAATGGACACAGGTTTCTAGTGAAAGGGCACCCATCGCTATGTCCTTGTCCTCTCCTTAAAAGGTGCCTGTGGATTTCAGCAGCTTTCCTTAATGAATCGGCTTTTCAGAAAAGTTCTAAATTTGTTTGATGTCCTGAAGCACTTGAGGCTCTTGATCTAAAAGTAGACATTATGAAGAATTTCTTAGTATTCTCTAAGCATGCTTTCCATCCAGTGAATGAATCTCTTTATGTGTTCTAGCCACCAGCACCCTAAAGTTCAGAGACATACAAGTAAAAAGGGCCATTTGTATGAGGAAAAAATATTTGAGAGCAACAGGATTTTTTGATTCTTTGTGAACTTTTATGACATTTCCCCTTTTAACATATTGCTATTTCTTCATTCATTTAGTCATGCAGTCACTGGCACAAATTAACCAACAACTGTGTGTAAGACACTTTGTTAGGCACCGTGTGAGATGCAGGGCTAACTGGGAGGGAGTGTGTTAGAGTCTGGCTAAGGAAGTGACTTCAGGAATCCTCAGATTTGTCAGCTTGGCCTCTTCCGGGCTATGAGCAAGTCACTTTACCTCTCCCAGGCTCATATTTCACATTTGAAAAATCAGAGTAATAATAGTATTTACTGTAGAGGGTTATTGCAAGAATTAATTGAGATACATTGGCAAAGCACATACCACCAAGCATCTTGTAATTTCTCATTTCGTGTTTTAGTCCGGTTTGTGCTGCTGTAACAATACCAAAGACTGGGTAATTTATAAAAAAATGAAATATATTTGGCTCACAGTTCTAGAAGCTGAGAAGTCCAAGATGGAGGGGTTGCACCTGGGAAGGGCCTTCTTGCTGTGTCATCCCATGTCAGAGGGCAGACGGCCAAGAGAGTGTGCAACAGAGAGAGTGTGAAGGGGGCCTACCTTGTCCTTTTATAAGAAACTCACTCCTGAAATAACAGCATTAATCCATTCATGCAGGCAGAGCCCTCATGGCCTACTCACCTCTGAGAGGTCCCACCTCTTAATACTGTTACAATGGCAATTCAGTTTCCAACACATGCTTCTGGAGGACACAGTCAAACCATGGCAATGTAGTTTGTTTGTTTGCTTGTTTGTTTGTTTTTTTAAGCACCTAATAGACTAAAATGAAAAAATATATTTATGCAAATAATTATATATGGTAGAGAACAATAAATGCTATGAGAAGTAAAAAGGAGAGTATATTACACAGAATTAGTAGCACTAACTACTATAGCAAACAAGTCCCAAATTTGTGAGTTAGCATGATAGGGATGGCTTTCTAGGGTACCACTCCTCCAGATGACTCAGAGGTCCTATCTCCTTCTGTCCTTTGGCTTTCTAGAGCTTCATTCACTTCAAGGCAAAACTAGGAAAAAACAGTTTGAGTAAAATACGGTATGGAATGATTTGTAGCTAAGCCTGTATATGAGTTGCTTATTAATCTGTTAGTTATCTGTTTACGACAGGTATTAACACGATTTAGATGGGCTCAGGAATTCGATAGCAGCTTAACTGGATGGTTCTGGCTCTGGGTCTCTCATGAGACTGCAATCAAAGTTTGCCCATGCCGTGGTCATCTGAAGGCTTGAATGAGATGGGATGATTCTCTTCCAAGAGGACTTTCTCATGGCTATTGGCAGAAGGTCTCAGTTCTTTGTTGGCTGTTGGCAGGAGGCCTTAGTTCCTTGCCATGTGGACCTCTCCACCAGGCTGATGGAGTGTCCTTACAACATGGCCATAGGCTTCCCCCAGAGCCAGTCACCTCATCTGAGAAAGAGTGAGGGGAGAGAGGAGAGAGAGAACACATAAAGCAGAAGCTTAACGGCTTTTATGATCTACCCTCAGAAGTCATATACTGCCACCTCCACCATATTTGTTCATTAGAAGAGAATCACTGTGTCCAACCCACATGCAAAAGAAGGGGAATTGAGTTCCACTTCTTGAAAGAAGCAGCATCAAAGAATTTGTGAACATATTTTCAAACCACTACAGTCTAGAAATGACGAATATCACTTCTGTTTGCATTCTGTTGGCATAAATCCGCCACATGGTCCAATTAAGTGAATGTGAAATGTGGTTTATTTGTGAGCACAGGAAGGGGAGGAGAATGGAATATGGGGTGGAAAACATCTGTGTTTATTAGCATGTGGAGAGTCTAGCTAGTAGATGCAAAGGAGGAGGTTAAGGAAGACTGAAGGGAAGAAGTGATATTTTGAATATAGGTAAGATTTGAAGAGGTGGAGATACTGGAGAGGATATTTCAAATGGAAAAATAAAAGGGCATGGAGGCAGGAAATGAGATGGCTATAGCATAGGTGAAATAAAGTAGGTAAAGATCAGGTTGGAAAGGCATGCTGGGACCATCAGAAACTATAAAACTGGAGTCTTTCGATTAGTTGCAATGTTTTATAATTACTACTTCATTATTTATCTTGCTTTTTAGGGCATATCTATAATGGTCACATTATCAATGATTTTCATAAGTAAACATGTTACTGCACTGGCTCAGTTTCACTGTTCTCAATTTCCGTTGACTATTTACTCTTAGAGCTCTTTGGACATTGATAACAATATAGTGATTTAGAATATTGTGTGGTATTGAGTACCCAAACGGTACTGATATTTAGAGGGATGGCTAAAAGAGAAAGGAAATTAGAATGTTTGTTGTCTTTCATTGTTCAGATTTCTATAGCAGGAAATTTGTGCTTTGTAATCAGACTGACTTTATTAAGTTCTCTTCAGCCACTTATTATGGAGTAAGCTACTTAACCTCTCTGGGCCTCAGCTTCCTCATTATAAAAATGAAGCTGCTAATACTTACTGTGAACATATTTCAAGGAGAAAATGAGATGGCATGAAACCACCTAGGATATGGTGCAAGCATCAAAAAAAAAAAAAAAAAAGCCAGCGATCTCTCTGTTCATTCTCTTCCTGCACTGTGGCATAGGACCACTATTATAGTCTTGGCTCCTTTTCTCAAGGTTTCATCTGGAAGGAAGACAATAATACCCACTGAAAAATTATGGGAAAAAGTCTGATGGTTTACAATCAAGTATTAAATCAGATGGAATTCTGAAATGGGCCCATTATGGAAAATGGTCCATTTCCATATGGGCCAAATGCCAAAGCCTCCAAGGGGCAGATGGCACAGGAGCGAAAGGATGAGGAAAGCCGAATAGGTTCATAAAATCATGGACTTCGGGGTTGGAAAAGTCTTTGAAGAACAGCATAGCAAGTAGTTGAAAGGATGGGGTTTGAAATTAGGCAAAGCCAGGTTCTAATCCTTTCTTTGTTCCTCCCTGGCTGTATACTTTTGGGCAATTTATTTCATCTCAGTCTCAGTTTCCTCATCTGAAAAATGGGGACAGTAATGTTACCTGTAATGGATATTAAGAAGACGTGAGAAAACATAGGTAAACGACTTAGGGCAATGTACAAAGTAAGCCTTAGTAAATGGTAGCCTTTATGATTTGTGGAGCCTTTTTATGGTGAGTAAAGAAACAGGCCTAGAGAGTTGTAACGACTTCCCTAGCGTCATTTTATGGGGTCAGTTAGGAATTGGAGTAGAACCTCAGATTAGAACCAGCATGAACAAAGGCATAGAGGTTGGTAGCATCCTATCACGTGGGTATGGAACAGAGATGGCAGGGGAAGGTTTGGGCAGAGAACCATGGGGCAGGACTAGGTCTTGAAAGCAGGAAAGCAGCTTGAGCTTGATGTGGGAAAGAGGGAAATGTGATCTCAAATTCCTGGGCAGAGAGATGTTTTTTGCAAGCGTATTCTGAGACTTCACTGCAAAGAGATGAATGATATAATGAATACAATAGACTTTGACTCAGAAATAGGAATACAGGCATTCAGCCACAAAACCCAGTGGAGAAGGACCTACTAAAAGGCACCCAAGGCATTTCAGCATTCTTAACCTGCAGTCAAGGAAACAAGACTAAAAAAGATATCACCACAGAAACACTGTTTTGAAAATATCTATAAAGGAAAGAGGAGAATCAACTATGTATTTTGTGCCCACGTTCCCATGGTAGCATGTGTCTGTACAAAATGCTTGGTAAGGTATGGGTGTGATCATGCGTATGTGTATGTCTGTGTGTGCATGTGGGTGTGTGCACGCATTGTCTATGTCAGAGGCAGGTGTGGGAACTAGGTGTGGAGGACACATAGCCCTGGCTCATGTGGCGCTGCAGTTAGAGGAAAGCATATAAGCACAAGGTCTCCCTGTAATGTCCACAGGTAGATAAGGAATTCCCAGGAGCTTTTTGAGTGTTTTAACTCTTGTGCCAAATGAACTGTGGAGTAGCATCTCAGATCACTTTGGGTCGATATAGAAAGTTATCAGCTGGAACGTGGAACCCTGAATACATGCAAATGAGAAGACACTCCAGGTGGGAGTGGGCAGTGTGATGTCATGGGAAGAACTGAGGCAGTGCAGGAGGGTTGAGGGTGGGGTTCTGCATGGGGAGGCGGTCAGATGCATTTGCTTTGGAATCTAGGCTTGTGCTAATTCACCGAAGAGCCTTTGGCAATTTGTGTCATCAATACAATAGTGTCTAAGACTCATTACTGAAAGAATAATAAAGTCTACATTTAGTGGTATTGTAAACATCAAAGAAGTTATCATAAATACAAGTACTGAGTATATAGGAGGCATATAACACATTTATTTTCCTTCCTTTATTTTTTATTTTTTATTTTTTGAGATGGGGTCTTGCTGTGCTGCCCAAGCTGGAGGGCAGTGGCGTGATCTTGGCTCCACTACAGCCTCAACCTCCCAGGCTCAAGCGATCCTCCCACCTCAGCCTCCTGAGTAGCTGGGACTGGAGGTGCACACCACCACAACAAGTTAATTTTTTTTTTTTTTTCCGAGAAGGAGTTTTGCTCTTATCACCCAGGCTGGGGTGCAATGGCGCAATCTCGGCTCACTGCAACATCCACCTCCTGGGTTGAAGCGCGTCTCCTGCCTCAGCCTCCTGAGTAGCTGGGATTACAGGCACATGCGACCATGCTTGACTTTTTTAAGTACAGATGGGGTTTCAGCATGTTGGTCAGGCTGGTTTCAGACTCCTGACCTCAGGTGACCCACCCACCTTGGCCTCCAAAGTGCTGGGATTATAGGCGTGAATCACCGTGCCTGGCCAACTTAATTTTTTGAATTTTTGTAGAGACAGGGTCTCCCTATGTTGCCCAGGCTGGTCTCAAACTCCCGGGCTCAAGGAATCCCGCCTTGGCCTTCCAAAGTGCTGGGATTACAGGCATGAGCCACCAGGCCTGGCCTTTCCTTGCCCTCCTAAATAAGGGATTCTCAAACCTTAGACTATATAAGAATCACCTAGGAGATGCAGATGTCACCTCATCCGCAAGAGTCTGATTCAGAAGTCTGCAAGTGTGGCCTAGGAATCTGCATATGATCTAGGGACACAGGTGATCTGATGAGGGGCTCTAATAACCACACATTATGAAACACTAGAAGAGTGAGGAACTGGAGAAAAAAAAAAGCCAAAGGATAAAACCTGAAATGCATCCCAGACGAGGAGGCATTGTTAGGGGCAGCCAGGTCACTTTCCAGAGATGTCAGTCACAGCCAATCAGGCCAATAAACTACATTTATAGTAAAAGCCTTGTTTTTAAGTTGAATCAATGTAATTTCCTTGTGTGAAGCCAGGCTAGGAAACTGGGAGCCCTAGAAGCTATGTTTTGCTGATATCTATATCATTCATTTATTGCTTCGTTCATTTGTTTCTTCGTTGGTTTATTATTCATTCACAGGTTTGGGTGCCTGCTGCATGTGAAGCCTAAGTAGAGGCTTGCGTGCCTGTCTCATGAGGCTTACATAGGTACATGCTCTCTGCCCTCAAAAACCAAAGATGTGAAAATATGACATTTTAAATCTCTGCAAAGGACAGTAGTACAGTACTTTTATCACGAAAGCACAAACTTAGGAGTAGAGATAACAAGTTCTACGGCTATAAGAATTCAGGACATGTGGGTCCAAAAAAGTTTATTTGACCTTTTGGGAACTGAGCTGGGACTTGAAAAGGGAGTTTGATTTAAACGGAGTAGAGGGGACAACATTCCAGTTTTCTCCTTTGGTTGAATACTTCTTTTTCTATATTTTGTGAATGGTTATACATGCTTTAGTTATTTTTGTTAGAACCAGTACCTGTGCATTTTATTGTTAATGATAATATGTTCTGTTTCCTGAGAAAGCGGGGCATTTGTGTTTCTTCTTTTCTAGAAAATTTTTTGGTAGTTTCACATGCGTATTTTCCCAAATGCATTTCAAAACAAAATTTTGATGTTCTAAAAAAAAATCTGTTAACATGTATAAAACATATAATTTGGTCAATTAATTAGGGAAGAATTTAAGTTGCTACAATAGATTTCCTGTTTAAAAATGTTGTTTTAAACTCCTGTTGGTTGAGCTTAGGTGCAGGCCTGCACCTGGATAAGCTCTAGAGCCGTAAAGCTGTGTGAGGCTGGGATTTTTCCCAAGAAAGACTAGCACTGGTTATCCTGCCTTGGTAACCCAGGGGAATATTATCACCACAAACCCAGGTCAGTTTTGTTCACCTCCTCCCCCACAGTGGCAACACTAATTAAGAACGTCAAACTACTGACTGTTCCCAGGTAACAGTATGATAAAGTCAATGTTTTTCCCAGCTGGATTCCCAAATCTGGTAAGGAAAGGAGAACCAGGTTCAGCCTGCTGTGTTCTGATGCTCCCTGCTCTGCAGGGCTCTCTAAATAGCTCCCACCAATTAAGGGGGGAATCTACGGGCACATGTTAAAGAGAAGCACTAACATGTACTGAGCTCCTGTTCTGGGCTGGGTGTTTCACGTGTGTCAGTCCTTATACTTCACACGTGCTCTACTTTTTAAGTGTATTCGCTACCTGCTTTATCTTTTTCTTTTTAGAACAATCCCACAGGTAATAAATATTAAATGAAGGCTTGAAGGTTAATGAAATTACACGTTGACACAGAACAGTCACTGGTCTATTTGACTCCAACATCTGTGCCTTTTCTTATCTACTACACACTTTCCAGCCCCAACACCAAGTCCAAGGAGTTGTGAATACAGACACCTACTGTTGCCACACAAACATACCTATGGACTGCTGAAAACACAGGGAGAACTGGGTTTTCATTAAGGAAATAATGACTGATTTTCCTGGGAAAAATAGTATCTGTAGTATCTTGCAGTGTAGCAGTCTCAGAGGTGTGCTGGAGCTAGTTTGTATTGACTTGCAAGAGCCAACTGTAAGGTTTCACAACCAGCTGAGAATTCCTGAAAATCTATTATTAAAAGTTAAATTATATAAATTTATGTAAATTATATAAACTATACAAATTATATAAATAAAATTATGTTAAAAATAAATGTCATAAATATTCACAAGTTATCATTTCCTAATCATTTTACTGTTCTTGATTATTGCCTCTGCTCTTGAGGTAGAAATACTATATAATGGTGCTATATACTGTATATATCTCTTCCCAATTGATAATCAGTAAAGTTTTGTTGGTAGCTTGAAATCAGCCATGGGAGTTGTAGCTACACGATGGAAATTGGTCAATATTATGAATCAGGCTGTTGTTTCCCAGGGAGCCAGTTGTTAAACATTTACCAGCAAACCATGGACAGTATGCAGACAGGTGTTGTCATAAATTCCCTTTGTAAGGAAATAAACAGTCCACAAGGGCTGATGAATAGCTTCTGTAAGCCCAAGAGTGCTATCCTCTCCTTTGAGACTTGGCCGAGAGAACCAAAGTCAGGAAAACGGACTGCTAAGGTGAGAAGTAAAGACTCTGTTCTTCAGAAGGACACTAGCTCATTCACAAAATCCTGGCACGCAAACTCTTGTGTGAACTTCACAGTGATCCTGGAAGGTAGTGCCTCTGCCCTCGAGGAAAACCAAGACTAATTTCTTGTGCTAACAGTGCCCAGCTGGGTGAAGCCCTGGTGTGTAGCTAATACTTTTTCCAAATCCTTCAGCTTCCTGGGCCTCAGTGCAAATGGCCAAGCAGTGGTGGCCCTGGCTGCTGAGGCGTGTGCACACCATTCACAGCGGTTGGTGGCATGTGGTGTCTGGCAGGCTTTCTTTAACTCACTCCATGTTACTCCCAATCCTGGGCACAGCCAGCCCATTGCATCAATGAGTGTATAGTGCATTGTCCTCGGTGACTGTCACCAAAGGTCAGATTTATGTCCATGGGAATAATTGCCTGGAAATGAGTAAGATGGAGTAATTGGGATGAGGGTCAGAAATGAAATTAATGGCCTCAAATGTAAAATCATGTCTATTCCAGTGAAGGAATTTCTATCCCAAGAGAGGGGCCATAAAGCGAACTTGAGATTTTTAAGGTAACTATGATATTTTAGGGATCCTTAAGACTTAGTGAGTTGGTACTCACGACAGGAATATAGTTAAGGGTGTCTTTGGATTTTATTTTTCTTCAACTGTTTTCATGAAAAAATTGAAAAACAGGCTGAGCACTGTGGCTCATGCCTATAATCTCAGCACTTTGGGAGGGTGAGGCAGGAGGATCACTTGAGCCCAGGAGTTGCAGACCAGCTTGGGCAACATGGTGAGAGCCTGTCTCTACCAAAAAAAAAAAAAAAAAAAAGGTAGAAATCAGCCAGGTGTGGTGGCATGCACATGTGGTCCCAGCTACTCGGGAGGCTGAGGCAGAAGGATTGCTTGAGTCGGGGAGGTTGAGGTTATAGTAAGCTGTGTTCATGCTAATGCATTCCAGCCTTGGCAACAGAGTGAGACGCTGTCTCAAGAACAAAACTAAAAAATTTAAACAAGTTTTGTCACTATAAAAATTTTAAACAATATTGAAGAGTGTAAAGCTAAAAAAGGGAGTTGCTTCTTTATCTCTACTTTCCAGGGATAGTCACATTATGGTGAGTAACCTTCCATAACTTCACACACACACGCACAGACCCTATATGATTTGAAAATTTTAAAACAAAAAATTGGAACATAACTATATCAATAGCTTTGTGACTTGCTGTTAGTTCACATATATCTTGGAGAATATCTAGCCCATGCTTCAAATGTACCATAGAGAATTCCATTGGGCAGATGTATCATAATGTATTTTAAAAGTTCCCTGGTGAACACTGAAGTTTTCTTCAATTGTTTGCACTAAATATAGCAAATAAATGTCCTTGTAAATATGCTGTTGTTTTCTTGTATAGTTATTTCTGTAGCATAGACACCAAGGAGTAAAATCGTAAAGTAAAAAATGTATACACGTGTACGATTTTGATAACTTTTGTCAAATTGCCCTTCTGAAAGGTTATACCTATTTATACTCTAATATTAAAGTGCCTGCTTCCCCCCTCACCCTTACCAATATTGTATATAAACATTTTTTTTAACTTTTGCCCAACTAAAGGGGAAAACTTGTATTTTGTTCCTCCTTTGCAGTAATTTGACAGTATTTACTCTGAATTCTGTGAATTGCCTGTTTAGCCCCTTTGCTATTTTCCTTATTAATTTGATGACTTTGTTACTGATTTTTATGAGCTCTTTATATAAAACTTTTAATATCTTTACTAGGAATATTAATACTTTGTTATCTTACAAATATTTTCTCCCACCCTTCCGTTTATCTTTTAACTTTATTAAAGTTATATTTTTTGCCATGTCAACACTTCACATTCTTTTGTAGATAAGTCTGCTGTTCTGTTCCTTCACAGCTTCTGGGTTTGGGGTGTTGTTTGGGATACTTTTAAATGCTGGTAAAGTAGCTGGAAACCCTTGAGAAAAAGAAGCCTTAAAAGTTTGAAGAATTAATGTCATAAAAAGGTACCCAGCATATATTAATACTTCACTAGATATTCTATTATGTGTGAAGCAAAACAAAAAAATATTTCTCCAATAAGATTAATAAGTGCTTTTTGCAGATCAGGGAAGAAAATGTAGTGGGGAAGGCTGCGCGGAGCCTTCTGTGCACTGCAAACACATAGGGGAGTGGGGCGAGGGGCCAGCGGGAAACTGAAAGGGGATCTTGGCATGTGCATTTCATAATTTGCTCTAAAGGCAAAATTTAGCACTGGCTGATTCTGCCTTTATTTTTCCAAGAAAAAACACGCGAAAGAGAATTAGAAATCTGTTAAGTCCTCTGTGTTGGAAACGTGACCACTACATCCAAGTTCAGGCTTATCCCAGCCTTTTCTTTCCAACACCCATTTTGGATAATGTGCATAACATTCCTCTGAAAGGAACAAAATGTGAACAACTGGTTGATATTTAAGTTCTTTAAATGGAGTCAAACTGTCCTGTTAATTTGGAAAGACTCATTTTTGGTTCTCTAAGCATTATTTCACCTTTACTTAAAATTTTTAAATCCTAATTCTCCTTTGCCCTGAGACAGTTTTTACTTTATACTTTAAAATGCCATCCATGACTAAAGGAAAGTCCAAACAAGTTTTGTAATTTCATCTCTCAATCAGACCACTCAAATTTAATTACTCAAAATACCTTGTTTTGAAAAGGACTTCCAGCACTTTTCCAGTACTTAAAATGCCTCATAAAAGAACAAAAGAAAAAAAGACTTCCATTTTCAGCATGTTAGGATTCCATCTGTAAGAATTACAGAGTAGGGCAAGAAATGCTCAGATAAAATGGGAAAATCAGTTACTATAGACAGTATGGAGTAGAAGAGAGAAAGGAACATTGCAGGCAGGCATGCTGCACAGTACGGTACAGGCTGAGGAGGTAAGAAACAGCACTGCTGACCTCAAGGTTCTGGGTGCCATTGGCTAGGCAGTACGTAATAACGAAAGTGAACTTGACATTTTAATAGCCAGGAATAAATATGACCTCATGGGCATTCACGGGATAGTATGTTCTATCCTGAATTCAATGGCAGAATAGAAGAATGGAAGAATAGACTCTGTCTAGTAGAAACAGACTATTAGGAAGATAAATATGTGAGCAGAAATTCATAAACCAAGGATGGTGCCATGCTGGAGAATAAACACGTGCAAAGAAGAGGAGGGAGGGCTCGAAGCAGCACAGAAGCAGGCAAGGCACTAACTCACCTGACTTTTTGGGAGACTTCCACTGTTTGACCATTACTGAAGGCTCCTGCAGCCCAAGGACATAGGTGGAGGTCACTGATGCCATGCCAAGGAGTTGCGTCTTTTTTGAATCGGCAGTCACCCACAGTTTTTGAGGAGGAGACAAAGTGTTGGGTCTAAGACGACTAATGATACTAGGGTGAAGATTACTCTCTGAGGGCAGCAGCAGAGGAACTCCTAGAAACATTTATAGAGCACGTATTATATCCCAGGAAGGCTACATGGCAAGCCCTGGACATACCAAGTGTAGAGACAAGAAGTGCTGCAAAAGCGACACACAAACTAGGGAAGGATAGGATGGCTGTGAAGGAGCATTTATTTGTGCTGTGGAGTTGGTGGAGGGGGAGCTTCTGAGAGAGTGATATCAGCATTAGGCCTTGGAGAAAGAATAAAAAGTTATAGCCATGGGAGGTGTGAAGGCCTGGGCAGCCCAGGCAGCAGCATGGAGGAAGGACAGAAGCACAAGCATGCATGGCAGGTTCCGGGAAGACTCAGTAGCCAGTGCTGGGCTGGGAGTGTGGCTGGCTGGAGGGGGGCCGCCCCACTGTGAAGGTTGTGTCACTCCTTCAGGCAGCCATGGGGAGCCCTTAGACAATTTTAAGGAAGGCTGAGATGGATATGACTCAGGTGCATCTGGAAAGACCAGTTCCAGCTGCAGTACAGAGAAGGGACAGGGTGTGAGAAGGTGAAGTCAGGTCAGTAGGGGACCACTACCTGTGGATGAGGGGAGTGGTAAGGTCCTGAACTATGGAAGGCAGGGGCAGTGGGAATGGAAAAGAGGACTCAGAGGGACTCATTGGTAACCTAAGACACCATTAACTGGAAAGCAGAACTATAGGAGGGGAAACATAGGAGGCAGAGATGACCCTGGTTATCACAGTACAATAAAGGACCCCAAACAGAGCAGCAAACAACATCACTTTGTTATACAGTAGGTATGACTTGTCCCTCCTCCTCAATCTCGGGCCTTAGCTAAAAAGACTGGGCTCAAGTGACTGGGGCTGAAGAGCTGGAGCTGCAGGAGCCACTTCCAAGATGACTTTTCCACTTGTGTGCCTGGCACCCTGGGGAAGAGTGCAGGCTGGGCTCTGCCAGGACTGCTGGTTGGCATGACCACAGCACAGCAGCCCCAGAGTAGTCGACCTTCTTACATGGTGGCCTTGTGTACCAGCCAACAGTGGCCTTTTATGACGTCTCCTTAGAAGTCTCCTGTCATCACTCCTGCCTTGCTCTGTTGGTCTAAGCAGTCACAAGCTTGCCCAGATTCGCAGAGAGGGGACACAGACTGCACCTCTCAATAGGAGCCTCAAAAAGCCTGAGGCCATGTTTTACAACCACCACAATGAGTGACATAATAAAAACAAGTGTACAAATACAGCTACAGGTACACTCTGCAGATGCCAACAACCGACTGAAGATGAGGCTAAGGAGGAAGGAAGCCTTATGATAAATGTGAACACTGACATTTCCCGCATCATAACATCATTGTTAGTGATGAAGAGGGTGGGCGTGGAATCTGACCACCCGGTTTGAAGATAGGCTCCACTGCATAGTCACAGTTTGACCACAGGCAACTTTCTTACTCTCTCTGTTCTCCCCCTCTCCACATTCTTTATCTGCTATCCCATTTTAATGGGTATAATAATAGTGACCTACTTTAAAAGGTTGCTGAGAATGCTAGCTAAAACATACACAGTTCATAGAATAGTTCCACGAACGTTAGTAGGTATTGTTGACAGAGCACCACCACATGCACTATTTCATGTATTCCTTCCTAGGACGTCTGATGTAGCTGTTCGCATTATCATTTAACAGATAAAGGACCCGGACCCTGAGAGGTTAGGTAGCATTCTCAAGGTCACACAGCCGGCAAGTGACACAGCCATGACTTCAGAAACCTGCTTTCCTGCTTCCATAGACTCAGTTCTTCCCACGGCTGCGCAGCTGCTCCCCAAACAGGAGCATGCCTGGGACCACTCCTATGCCCACCCACATTGTGGGATTAGCTTCCTGGCCAACCCGCTGTGTTTCTGGCACTGAAGCTGTCCTCCCAGGAGACGCCGCCTGGGCTGCCCCTGCCCTCGCCCACCACTGGCATGTCTGAAATTTACTAGAAGCAAGACGTGGACAACTGTGACAGCAGGTGTGATGCCTGCAGGCACCCAGCCTCCCTGCTGGAAATCTCCAGACAGCTGCCTTTGGTGTGGAGTGGGGGTGGGGTATAGCCCCTTCCCCAGGGCCACTCGGAACCGAGGACCAAGCTCATCAATGCATTCCCTTGGGACCACACCAGAAGAGAAGCCAGGCCCAGATGTGCCTGCCCAAGATGACTTTGGGCAAATGTGGAATAAGGACAGGCCTGCCTTCCCTGTAAAGACCCAATAGGAGCCAGCACCCTGGTGAAGAGCGTCAGCCCTGGTGGTGGCACCTGCAGGGTACACCGTCTTGCTTCCTGGGCTCTCCTCTGTGGCTGAGCTCGGCACCTCACCTCCCTCTCTCAATCCTCCCCATCTTCAAAAATCAAGCAAGGAAATAGTGAGAGCAGTGACATGTTTCCTCTTTCTTCTGAAGCAGCCTAAAAACATGGACACATCTGTGAGAAAATGAACCTGTCAACCCATCGGGCCCTGCAGTGCCTGGAAAGGAGTAACAGTGTCTGCTGCTCTCTGTTAAAGGTCACCCTCTAGGCCCTGAGGAATTTTCCTGAATTACAAAGAAGGAACAGAGCAAATGCCTGTCATAACACACTTCAGAAAACAAGGAGCAACCAGAAGTTCCCATTCATCTAAGGAATCTTTGAAAATCCTGCCCTGGGTGGAGTGACATTTGCTAACAATAAAAGCAGTTCACTTGGCAGGCGACCCTGGGTACGTCAAAGTTGACCGGGGCAGACTACCCCTCCAGGGACTGTCTCACCTCTCAAGACTTCCAGGAAGTTCAGGAGAACGTCAGGAACTCTGCTATCCTGGCCTTGGTGGGTCACAGCCCACCCCTCCATTCAGGCTTCCTCTCCACGCATGTCACAAGGGAAGCAGGCCCCCGCAACAGAACTTTCTCCTAAAGACCAATGGACTGCTTCACCTTTTCCCACAGTTCAAACTGACCAGGGCCAGCTTAGGAGTCACTAGGCAGAACTACTCAGATTTGTGTGTTTCAAGTTATTTCTGTTCTTGCCCAATTCAGATTCTGAGAGAACTCTGGATGGCAAAACCAAAAAACATGTCAACTGTACAGCAACAGTTCTGTATTTCTAAGTTTACTAGTTGTCTTTACATGTTTTTTTTTTTTTTTAGTACTAAAATAATTGTGATACACCTTTGAATGGATTTGCAAGGTACTTTTTATGAGTAACATTTTATAATTTCCACAACACTCTCGTAAAGGTGGCAGGGAGCTTTAACTTCTTCCCTGCTTCCTTCTCTGAAAATGTGATTTTGACTTTCTTTCTCTTTTCTCTTTTTTGAGATAGAGTTTTTGCTCTTGTTGCCCAGGCTGGAGTGCAGTGGCACAATCTTGACTCACTGCAACCTCCACCTCCTGAGTTCAAGTGATTCTCCTGCCATAGCCTCCCGAGTAGCTGAGATTACAAGCACAAGCCACCACAACTGGCTAATTTTATATTTTTAGTAGAGAATGGGGTTTCACCATGTTGGTCAGGCTGGTCTTGAACTCCTGACCTCAGGTGATCCACCTGCCTCACCCTCCCAAAGTGCTGGAATTACAGGTGTGAGCCACCACACCTGGCTGACTTCTTTTTCTTAATAGTTGGCCAGACCAAAATATAGGACTAAAGTAGTATAGAATTACTCCATATTTTTGTACGGTATGAATTCACCAGCAATAACGTTAGAAGCAAGGTGAAGGAAGGAACATCTCACTTGGCTATTCTGCAGTGGGGATGCCCTTCATTCCCCTCACTGAATTATTTTAATAACTCCAGCAACTTTGGTGTGATTGGCGTGGTGAGAAATGTCAGCATAGCATTGATTGACAAACTACCTTGTGACCTGTGAAATTGTATATTATAAAACAAATGCACTCAGTAGTATTCTTTTTCCTCCTTTCAAAACAGTGCTTTGCTGTAACCAAGGAATTGTCCTGGTTATTTAAGCAACCATTTCAATTTGCCAGTGCAAATTTTCATAGGCTTGTGAAGAGATAATGAAACTGTACATCTGTCTGGTTGCTTTACAAATTCTAAAGCACTTTCAAATCAATTTTCTTTCTTAATTTGATCCTTAAGATGACCCACAACCTAAGTAGAGTTGCTCTAATTGTTCTTGCTTCATGGACTAGAAAACTGATGTTCATGTAGATGAGAAAAACTGCTCCAAGACCTGCCTTAGGGTTAGAAACCAGATTTTTCAGCATTTGGTCTAAGCTGTCTTCCCCAGTGATTTAAAGGATTTTTTTTTTAGCCTCCTAAGATTATTGTTAGATGGTATGAGTCAAAATGTCTGTAAGTCCAGGTTCATTTCACATCAGACGGACACACCAAACACACACACACACCCCACACACAAATTCCTGACACATTTTGCTTATCCCAGTGTTTTGGTAACTGAGGATTTAAGTACTTGTCATGAGAGGAAAATTGTTCTGTGACCCAGTGTGATGGTTGCAGGCTCCTGTGGCCTGGTATGCTTCGTGTATATGATGTATGCAGTACCAATTCAAGGATGAGGTCCCCAAGACCACCCTCATGTTAGATAATTTGCTAGAATGACCCCAGAACTCACTCACACCAGAGCTCTTGTATACATTATTATGGTTTATCACAGTAAAAGAATCAGATTAAAATCAGCGAATAAAAGAGGCATATAGGGCAGGGTCCGAGAGAATTCCAAGCATGAGCTTCCAGTTGTACTCTCCCAGTGGAGTTGTGGAGTCAGCAACAATGTGTGATGATATTTGGCATGGAGTAATGCCAGTGAGAGAAATTACCTGAGCCTTGGTGTCCAGAGTTTTTTTTGGACTTTGTCATATAAGACATGGTTGACAGCTGTGTGGCTGACCTCAGTCTCCAGTCCCTCCAGAGGTCAAGCTGATGTCATGTGCCCCAAGACCCCTCACCATAAATCACATTGTTGTTATAGACTATCTGACATGACTCAATGCCCCCAAGTAAACATAAGATACTCCTACACAGGACATTCCAAGGTCTTAGAAGTTACCTC